TCAATGAACCGTTGCGTCTATAGATAGGAGTTTCGTTGTCCAAGCACAACAGTCCACGACTAACTAGGATTATCAGAAACCAAGCGAACGGTTTATAATTATTAGTGAGTATTATAGAAGTTTAGTTAAAAAAAAGTGTCTATACAAGGTTTTAATAATATATGAATTTCACATTTACGTTTAATATACTTGGGTTAACTAAATATGGTCTAGGGTATAGTTATCTTTATGAAAAATTTATAAAATTTCAATATTGTTCGTTTTGGTATTCCTATGATGTATAAATAGAAATTAATATATTTTCCCTTGGGTTTACTAAATATATTCTAGGGTAAAGTTATCTTTATTGAAATTTTTATAACATTTCAATACTTGTTTATATTTTAGTATTATTAGTTTTGGTATTCCTATGATGTATATATCGAATTTATTATATTTTCCCTTGGGTTTACTAAATATGGTATAGGGTATAGTTTTCTATATTGAAAATTCTATAAAATTTCAATAATTGTTTATATTTTAGTATTATTAGTTTTCGTATTCCTATGATGTTAAAATCGAAATTATAATATTCTCGCTTGGGTTTACTAAATATGGTCTAGGGTATAGTTTTATTTATTGGTTGTCCAAACAAAACAGTCAATCACCAACTGGGATAATCAGAAACCAAGCGAACGGTTTTCCCTTGGGTTTTCTAAATATGGTCTACTAGTAGTTAGGTATTGTATAATTTGGTTTTAGGGTTTAGATTTTGTTGCTTGGGTTCTCCAAGTATGGTCTAGGGTATAGTTATCTATATTAAAACATGAATTAATATAAAGTAGTAGTAGTTAGGGATTGTATAATTTGGTTTTAGGGTATACATTTTGTTGCTTGGGTTAACAAAGTATGGTCTAGGGTATAGTTATCTATATTAAAACATGAATTAATGTAAAGTTTGTGTTTATTTGTTTTACGGAGGGGCAGAAGCGTCATACGTTGTCTCCGAAATAATGATAAAGTGCCTCTACTTTATAAAGTGTCTAAAGTCTAATATCTTTCTCTAGAAGTGCCTTAACATGCAAATCTCCCATATATTAATCTGATGCTCAAACAAACTACGCATGTATGTCCCTTAAAGTATTAATGGAAAAAGGCTTCTGTTGGTGTAAAAGGAAAACAGCAGGTACTTTATTTATTGGGTGAGTACAAGGTAGAGAATAGGATGTAGTTAGCATAGATCGCGAAAGCAAGTAGCATACATGTAAACAAAACATCGACGACAAAGGGAAAACACCGTATAATTGTTCAGAAAACAATTAGGCAGACCAGGACCAAAACGAAAGGTATTGTCATAACGACCACTCCTTGGTAATCTCTGGGATGTAACTTGATGTAGAAACATTTCACCAATCTCAACTGCTTCGGGAATGTTAGGAAGAAGATTAAAAAATGATTCCATGACCACCATACCTTGGTCAAAAGAACCACAACAAACAAGAACAATTCCCAAGGCAAACCTAGCATATATCATGTGTGGAGCAGCAGCTCCTAACAGATCAATTGATAGCTGGGAAGGACCTGCTTCAGCAGCAAGGCGTAAGCCTTCAACGAACTGGGCAGAGTGATTATCAGCGTCCAAACACCGTAAAAAGAACGGCCTGTAGACAGAACCAATATTTGCCAGATGTGGTGCGAAGACGAATTCATCAATATTGACATCAGCAAGGACGGTCTCGTCAAAGGCAAGGGCCATACACTCGGGTCCAGCAGCTACCAAAGAACCTAACTCTCTGAAACCATGCTGGGAGAGACGCCGAACAATGTCAAGAAGCAGAGGATGTGGAATAATGTTCATTTTTTTGGAGTTTGCGTTTCTGAGGTTGCAGGAGAAAGAAAGAACAGCAGTGATTAAATAGGGAATTAGAGGCAAGAGAGGGAACGTATTTGGAGTTGAAATGCAGGTGGGGAGTAAGCGTGCAATGACATACATTAAGTGATATAGGTGGCACAGTAGCAGCAAGTGGTAATTAAAAGCTGTGTGTTCCCTTGCGTGTTGTGTCAAGGAAAAGTGACAGTGTAAAGTGCCTTGAAACTAGCAACTGATATGGAAACCAGAATGTGTAAGCGTTGGTGTAGATACAGGAACTGCTTTTACTGGAACTGTCACATACAAGATACAAAAATGAAAAAGAAAAAAAAGATTTAGGAATAAGATCTTGAAAAGAGATTAACAAAGAAGGAGGTACATAACACTAAACCAATACAAAAAACACTGCCTGCAACGTCTGTCAATGCGGCACCTAGTAGCAAAACAGGTAGGGATGTCACCATAGTGCCAAGTGTTAGCGTGCGAACGAATCTTCACTGGACCAATTTGCATTATGTGCCGGAAGACAGTGCTACCAATAGCATCAGCTTGACGGAATGAACCAACAGACGAGATGAAGCTATCAATTGTGGCAATTGATTCTTGGTAAAAGCCGAGGCAAACCTCTAATAATGCCCGTGAGAACCAGGCTTGAGGTGGACTATTGCCAGAAGAGTATAACAACCGAAGAGCATCTTCAGCACGCCCAAGTTTTGCAGCAAGGCGGATGCTTTCAAGGTAGGCAGCAGTTGGATTAAGAGAGTCCAAACATAGGCGGAAGAATGGACGATAAATAGAGTCTTCGTTAATAAGGCTTGCATCTGCAAGGAAGGGTTGAAGGCTGACATTGTTGAGAACAATAGGATGAGATGCGAGATAGTGGTAGAATTTCGAAGCCAGCAGCATACCCCCAAGAGCCTTAAACGAATCCTCACCAACACGTGAGACAATATCTAGAGCAATGTTGATGTCCAGTTTTTCCATTTCTTCTGTGGTAGAAGGAAAGTGTGAATGATTATCTGTTTTTAAAGGCAAAACATGGAGGCACTGGTAGCAAGCAAATAAATGTTTAATAGCTAAGTGGGTGAGGAGCTCTGACATTTATGGCAAGAAAAATCAGGTATATTGCAACATGAGCTAAAACCATAAACCATTGTCATAATACAAGGAACTCAACTTAGTTACGAAGGAAAATAGTTACATGTGAGAAGAGGTAAAACAGTATGGGGAATGTAGTAGAAGCAGAGCATAGGAACAGAGGTTAAGGAGAGGAAGTGTAAAGTCATTGGTACACGAAAGAAAATAGCAATAGAGAAAGGAAAAAATTCAAGAGAAGGACACATATTCCCCATAGAGATCCATGGCGTAGTGCATTCTGATGCTATCAACCTGCTTCTGTGTAAGGTGCTGAAGCGGCAAAGTGAGCTGATGTGAGTGCAGTTCAATAAATTTAAGAGATATGGGGCCACAGTCGCCACCTCGGTCATTTTGCGCAAGACTAGGGACTCGCATGAATGTGAAGCCAGTTGATGGCCAAGTAGCAGGGACATCGGTAGATAGAGACTGAAGCAAAGAAGGAAGCATTTGAGCCATAGGAGACATGTATGAGACGACCTTCCTTTCAGGAGTGCAGTCTTCAAAGGGGTCAAGGATGTCAATATGACCACGACGTAGATCTATGGCTAAGGCAACCCAGTGTCGCTTTCCCCAATTCATGGGCATGTAGACAATATCAACATCTTTGAGCCATGCCAACTGAGAAGGACGGCCATCTACTACACCACGAGCATAGGCAATCAGAAGAGGGTTCCAAGCATAGGCAGATGTATTGAGGTTCTGGCTGAAACTCGTAAATTTGTTGCTCATAATGGAAGTGAACATGGAGTCCAGAAGTGTAATTCTCCGTGATGCAAGGTGCGGACCATGTTTTTTCCAAAGGAAGCTGACAATGCAGTCAATGTGCTGCAATGGAAAACAATGGTAAGAAGAGAAAAATGTCAGTAAAAAGTATGGAAGAGACTCTTAAGATTTGAAATGAAGAATACTAATGGGATGTGCAGAAGATGAGACTGACCAAGCTTGAAACCCAGTTTTGAGGCTTAGATATGTCAGAGAAGAAGGCAGCAGGGTATCTCTGACCATTTATAGTGTATTCACTGCAAAAGAAACATGGTAAGAGGAGGAATGTATAATATGGTATAGTAGAGACAGTTAACTGAGGCGTTAGGGTTGCAGAATAGGCTGCACCTGCCCTGAAACTTTGAAAGTTGCAGTAAAAATTTTGAAACAGTCGGAGAGTTTATAGCTTCAAGTGTACTTAATATGTATTCAGAACTGGAACCAACAGGAGGCTTGGGGGCTTGTTTCTTGCTACGAAGATTCATAGCAGGCCCAGAAACCAGTAGCTGTTGAGTACACTTAGCAGGAGGAAGTGAAGCAGTGCGAGCTTGGCTCCTTGTAATTGTTTTCTGGGAAGTACGTTGGGGCAATTGTTTAACAGGTGAGGGCAAAGGAGTAGGTCCCGAAGAACTGTCGATGGCACATACATCTCTCAATTGTGTGGATGATGTACTAACCTGGTTTGGAAGCAGCTTTTTGTTATCCTTTGGGATGACCTGGGAAAAAAACCAAGAAAAGAAGTAAACCGACTGTGTAACAAGTAAGACATAATTAGTACAAGCAGATAACAACTAACCCTTGGTGTAGTGGACAAATAGGGTGAGAGATGAGGACGATGAGAGTTTGACACTTCCGGAGCATGGTTAGAAGGAGGGACATGATCACTGGCGGAAGGAATGGAGGAGGCTTTGAGGGTGAACTTCGCAGCTTCATGAAGCAAAGATGGACTGCGGCAAGTTTTCTACATAAACAAAACAAGCAAAATTCGGTGAGTACAATTGTCGCAAGATGAAAGGTAACAAAGAAAGCAGAACAATTGGTAACCATTAAATAACCTGAGTAAGCACTATATTGTCTCGACAGAGAGATGAAACAGCAGGGACATGGTTACCACTGACGGCAGGAGAAGCAGGCTAGATAAGAAAAACCAAAAATTAGTAGAAGCAGTTCCGAAATGCATTGCAAAAGGGAAGCAAGATAACCCTTACCTGATTAGAAGGACTAGCAGTGGGGCAATTGCTAAAAGCAGTACAACCTTGAGAGGAAACAGTTGATAAAGAGCGAGTTATGATGGGAGAAGAGACCACGGCATGGGCTGAGTCAGTTACAGTATGACCTGAAGCTGAGAGGTTAGCAGAAGGATCAGAGCCTTTTTTCGGTGCTGTAGAACAGTTGGCAACTGATTCGACAGACATGGCACTAGAACGAGATCGTGTGACACGCCGAGGCAAAGAACATGCACGATTAACAGGAGAAGTAACATTAACAGTCGCTGAGGCAACTGTATTATCAGGGAGAGTGTTGTCAATAAGGTCGCGAACTTCAGCAAGAAGAGATACTTTCAAAGTTTTTTAATTTTTTGGATGCAGTGTCTGAGAGCGTTTAACCTTCAACTTAGAACGAGACCGCAGACCCCGCTTAACCTTTTTGACATCTGTCTCTTCAGCAGAACTTGAGCTATCAGACTGGCAATGGTTGCATTTACGTTTTCGGGAACATCTTAGGGATGGCAGAGAGCTATCACCACCAGGCCAAATAGATTTATCAAAGTTAAAAGATGATGCAATAAGGCCCTCTAACTGTTTAACCTTTGGGTCACAATGCGGAGACGCGAGAAAGGTAGCATCAGCTGGCGGTGGAGGCAAAACAAGCAGCTGAAGAAAGGAAAGAAAAAATTAGTTATTAAGAAATAGGAAAAAAATAAGTAAGGGACAGTGAAAGAAGAAGGACACACATGTCGTGAATATTCTACATGCAGAATGTTTGAAGAATGGTATGACTTGCACTTAGGAAGACGAGGAATGACTTGGTCAAGGAAATTAAACTCTTCTTCAGCATGAGGCAAGTACTTAAGAAGCAACGGGACATACTTGAAAGCAAACAGCTGAATTGCAAGAGGAAAACCATGTATTGCAACAGAGGATTGTCTAAGCTTGGCCACAAGGGAGGCAGTGTCGAGTATATATGAACCAACTTTGGCAGTGCGCAGAATTCGGTGAAAGGAGTGTCTTCCCCAAGGATATTTAAGAAAGAATGCAATGTCTTTCACCATTTCAACAACTTCAACAGATGCTTTAACTGGTTGAGAGCGACAAAGTATAATACCTTCTACAATAACAACCAGACAAAGCCTGAATTTACGCCAACTGGGCATAGTAGGCTCCCGTTTAAGGCGGGCAAGAAGTTCCTTAACTGTGACAGCACCAGGAGTACCTCCAATTAATTGATACCAGTAAGGTGAAGAACCATCAGCATGAGTTGTTGCAGCCTCGAGTTCTGACTGCGGAGGGAAATCACAACAAGACAACCCAGTGGCATCATGAAATTCCTTTAGCGAAAATCGCAACGGCTGACCACCAAAAACAAACCACATTTCCGAAGGATTGGTTGTATGCAACTGTCTACAGAGCATCTGATGAACCAGTTGGCCAGAAAAAAGAACATTGACGAACAGGCAGAGAGAAGAGGGAACCAAGAGGAGAGGACAGCAGAGTCTCCAACTCTGGCATACCTTGCAGAACATTCAAAATCTCAAGCAGGTACTTAGGTTTTGAATAAGAATTGATACGAACTGCATGAGAAGGGTAGCAATCAACAGCAAAAATTCTTTTAGGGAGAACACCTGAAATAATAAGAAACAACAAACATTAAAGATAAAAACAGTGAGCAGAGGGTATATAAAACCCGAACTAAACCCTATAGGAAACTAGACCCTAGGAGCCATGGGACAACTAAACCCAAGCAGAATATAGACAGTACTAAACCCTATAGGAAACTAGACCCTAGGAGCCATGGGACAACTAAACCCAAGCAGAAATATAGACAGTACTAAACCCTATAGGAAACTAGTCCCTAGGAGCCATGGGACAACTAAACCCAAGCAGAAATATAGACAGTACCAAACCCTATAGGAAACTAGACCCTAGGAGCCATGGGACAACTAAACCCAAGCAGAAATATAGACAGTACTAAACCCTATAGGAAACTAGTCCCTAGGAGCCATGGGACAACTAAACCCAAGCAGAATATAGACAGTACTAAACCCTATAGGAAACTAGACCCTAGGAGCCATGGGACAACTAAACCCAAGCAGAAATATAGACAGTACTAAACCCTATAGGAAACTAGTCCCTAGGAGCCATGGGACAACTAAACCCAAGCAGAAATATAGACAGTACCAAACCCTATAGGAAACTAGACCCTAAGAGGTATGTCTCAACTAAACCCAAGCAGAAATGTGCACACTTATGGTAAAGCCTAAAATCCAAGGTGACCAAAAACAAGTAGACATGTAAACAATAGTAAGTGGGAAAAAAAGAGAGGGGGACATGTCGCAGAATTACAAACCAGGTTCAACAGAGGGAGAAGCTCCAGATCCAAGCGAACCCATTGAAGAAAGCGAGAACCTACAGATCAAAGTAATGTCATTTTTGGGGTTGAAATGTTGAACTAAGACAGAAACTGCAGAGGAAATTGATGGACTGTTTAAGCAAGATAGTCGGCAGGAAACTAAAGTTTTACAAAAAAAAAGCCACATATCCTAAACGGAAACAACAGAGAAGCGAGGTAGATAGGTATATGGAACATGCAAAAAAAACAGAGAAGCGATGCGGAAGCGAGCAAGCAATGGCGACAGGGAGAGAACAGTAAAGCTCGATTAAATTACCAGCTGCAGCGTTGCCGATGAATTTTAGATCTAGGAATTTTACGCCGGAACGGACGATCCGGCGGTGAGCTCTCTGTGTTCGCAGACGATGGAGAAAGCAAAGGGAAGAGGGAAAGTAATGATGTACTGTGCTTTAAACAGAGAGTTATGGCTACACGTTTGTCTGACTTCTTTCTCGGCCAGCTGAAGTAAATGCACGGGTGAAACGAAAAAAAAAAAAATGATGACGAAGAGTCGCGGAGGGTAATCTCGTCAAAGCACAGGGAGCAGAAATGGCAATTCCTACAAACTGTGCAAAAAAGGACACGGGCAACAAATGCCACGCAAAAAAAGGACATAATCTGTAATTTTTTCTTTTGTTTACTATATCTAGTACTCTCCTCACACCGAGAGCATGTATGCATTTTTCTGTGTACTCTAACACTCCAAAAATCTAATTTCTGAATTTTAGCAACTCTTAAATACCATTCACAACCCATGGATGCTTGACTGCATTTTATCATAAGTTGCACCGGGTCCGATTTCACAGTTTTCACACCAAACAAGTTCGCCTTTGCAGCACTACTAACCAAATCCCAGACTGCCGCCTTAGAACGAAATTCATGATCTTTTTCCAGACTCATACCATCTTCTCATTCTTTAATTGTATCCTCACTTTGTTGTACCGGAGGTGCAAGCTCAACATATTCATGCCTAACATCATTCTCACAATTTTCATTAACACCATTCTCTATCATCATATGTTCAATAATAGACTCATTAACTATCTCACACTCTTTCTCTTGTTCTAATGTTTCCCCCATCTAAACGTACTCAGGATTCCTGTATAATTTACATCATCAGTCTTTACATCATCAATCCTTACATCATTGGCAGCCACTTCTCCATAATTCAGACCGCATGAACTTTTTCGCTATACTCTTGGAAGTTGCTCCACCCTCTCATTACTTTCAAGATAACTGCATAACTCCACATGCAAAACTGGTCTAAGTCCCTCTTTATCCAAAGACATTAAGAATATACAAACATCCTCATCATCTAAAATATAAGACTCTCCATGTTTTATATATCATGTAACTCAATTTCAGCTTCCTTGTCGCTCTATCTATAGCAATCTTCTTCCAGATTTTATCTACTAAAACTACATATGTTATTCTCTCCAAAGATGATGTCTTAAATATTATAGCGTATAGTGAATTGTTGCAATTCCAGTCATGCTCTGCTAAATAGTACCCTTCATAGTCAAAATATATGTTTGTGTGGATATTCTTCTTCATCGCCTCCTGCAAATAGAATCAAATAAATCACAAATGTTGATACATCACTTGTAACAGTTATACCATTTGTATCTGTCGAACTGCAATATCATATATGTACCAGTTGTCTTATTCACTTTCAGTTGTACCATTTCCTTCTGTAATTACAACGGGGAGCTACATTCTAATTTTCCTCATATTCAACACTATTCAACTACTAAATCCTACAACTACCATTGCAAATACCTAAACAACCAAATTTCGTTTCACTTACTTACTTCAATCGAAATCCAACAATGGAGGAGAAGAAAGAAGCCGCTGCGACCGAGGAGGCGACGACCAGCGAATGGATGAGTCGACCAAATATGGTTTCCCCAGAGGAGGAGCGTTTCAGGAGTGGAGGAACCAAATGTCGAGCTCTCAATCTCGTTTCGATCCAACAATGGAGGAAAAAAAGAAGGCGTTGCGCCAGAGGAGAAGAGACGACGGCCGGCGAAATGAATGAATTAGTCGACCTGAGATGGTTTTCACTGTCAACAAAACAAATGTCAGAGAAATTTTCGAGCTCTCAGCTTGCCGAGGAAACTTCAATTATGTCGGAGAAGAGATTGCATCTCGATTTTAGTTTGTTTTTTATTTTTGTTTTAAAATTAAATCGGATAATTCATTAAGGACAAAAGAGTATTATCCAAAAAGTGGCATTCAAATCACAAAATGGCATGCGTGATTCATTTACCTCGTTTAGTGGCAAATTAGGTTGTCTCCTCTTGTTTCCTTCCAGTTATAACTAACGAAGAACATTTGCTTGCGTTACTGTCTTCTCAACAAATTCGAAGACTGTAACTATAGCAGCATCATCTCCTGAAACATATCGTCAATCTCGCAAAGGTCTTGCCCATTTTTTTCTTTCTTAGATTCAATGCCGTTTCTTTGTTTGTTTCTATTCTTTCTCTCCGATTTTGTTGTCAGAGTTTTTCAAGTTAGGGTCTTTTTAGAGCCTTTTTGACCCATAATGCTTGAAAGCTCCCAACTTTTTCGTAAGAGAACAATATACAGTGAAAAATGTGATGATCTTGGTGTGTTTTTTTTTTTTTTTTTTTACTTCCTTATATCGAGAAAGACTTTGTTCTGGTTTGATTGCAATCTGTTTTGGTAACTTTTAGTTCCCTGTGAATGACATTTATGGTGAATTTCGATTTTGGTGTTAGGGTTTTTGTTAAAGCTTTTGACTTTTTTTCCTAAGAGAACAATAATCAATGCAAAAGTGATGGATGCTCATGGTGTTTTTTACTTCCTTATATTGAGAAAGACTTTGTTTTTTGGTTTGATTGATTTCTGTTTTGGTAACTTTTAGTTCCCTATAATGACATTTATGACGAATTTTTTTCCTTTGATTCTTTATTTTCATCTGTATTTGAAGACTAAAGAGAATCCCTAAACCATTGATTGTTGTTTACTAAAGAAAGAAGAAAATAAAAAATCAAGAATATATCGAAGTGTGATTTGGAAAACTATCTAGACTTTCTTTGTTTACGTTTTCTTATAAAATACAGATGCAGTCTTCTTTGTTATCTTTGGGATTTGGTTTTGTTGTTCTTGTCTTTTAAGTTTTAATAAAGAGAGTTTTACTTAGATACTGCAGCATGGACGGTGAAGCTCAACCGATCGCTTTACTTAATGGAAAAGAAGACAGATATGGCGGTGTTGAGGTGAACTTAATGGAAGTTGAACCCATGACTGCTGAAGAGTTTTATGCAAAGCTTGACGTTTCACTGAAGGCATGGAAGGATCAGGTATTAAAGACTTTATCCTTCTCAATGTTCTTTTAATATGGTCTTCTTTGAATCATTGGTGATGCCTTAACGTGACTTTTGTGGACATGGATTTGCAGGGGAAAAAGGGAATTTGGATAAAGCTGCCTTGTGAGCTTTTAAGTCTTGTTGACATTGCAATTAAGGTAAGTAAGAAGATGTTATGTTTTGTTTTGTTTTTGGATTGATTCTTGTTCAGCTTTAGTGATTGTATCGGATTCTGTTTGGTGATTTCTCAGAAAGGGTTTACATACCACCATGCCGAGAAGGAATATGCGGTTCTTACATCTTGGATCTCTGACTTGCCTAGCACTATTCCTGCCAATGCTTCTCATCGTATTGGGATTGGTGCTCTTGTACTAAACAAGAACAGAGAGGTAACAATATATTATTACTTCATATTTCTCCCGGCTTATTTATTTGGTGTATCAGTCTCTTGTATTTTTCACTACTTGATGTTTATATATAGCTGACTCTTTCTTTGATACAACAAGAGCTTGAAATATACATTTGATTGAACCTTAATGAACAAATTTCCATTTGCAGGTGCTTGTGGTTCAGGAGATTGATGGTGTTTTCAAAGGTACCGGACTGTGGAAGCTTCCTACCGGTGTTATTCAAGAGGTAAGTTTTATGTGATCTTGGCATATTTTTGTGCTCTTTGAGCATGTCAGCTTGGTATAGAGAATATAGTCACACATTGATCTTATTTTACAAATCCACAGGGTGAGGGTATTTGGGCTGGAGCAGTTAGGGAAGTAAAAGAAGAAACTGGTGTAAGTTTCACTCTTCAAACCTCGAAAGACATTTCTAATTTTATGGTTAATATAGACATTGCAGATTAAAAATTCATGTTTTCTTTTGGTCTTTTGATTTCAGATTGAGACAAAATTTGTAGAAGTCTTGGCTTTTGGGTAACAAGATCTCTATATTAGTTAGCCCCACCACCAGTTGCTAATCTGTTTAGTCTTGACTGCAATCTTGTCGTCCTTTCGCAGGGAAAGTCACCAATCATTCTTGGAAAGAAAAACGGATATATATTTTCTATGTGAGTTAGAACCAAGCACATTTGAAATTAAGAAACAAGACTCTGAGATCCTGGATGCTAAGGTAAATAACCATTTTATATAACTTGTGATGAGCCTGAACCAACTCACCAAGGAGGGTTTTAGTTACTGCAGAACACTCTCTTGTTGTTTGTTTTCTCAGTGGATGCCGATTGAGGATTACGTAAAGCAACCTTTTATCCAGAACAGAGAGAACTTCAGGTACATGGCTAACATTTGCTTGAAGAGGTCTCGGGAGGAGTACTTAGGTTTCTCCACTGTCCTTACTAAGAATTTAACTGGTAAGGAGAGCTATCTTTACTGCAACACGGCCGACTTCCTCAACGGAAAGCTTGACCATGCTTCTACGTCTCTCTTCACAACTCTCTTCAGAAAGTGTTTCTGTTTAACCTAATTCTCTTTCTCCTTGTCACTTGTAACCTAACCTGTATAAGACTCTTCATATTTGGTTGTTCATAAACAAAATCTAGCTAAACCAAACGGTCCAAACCAATGTCTTCAGTCTCATCATTGTGACTGCAAATGCGAAGCAAGACCTAGCATAGTTTTGCACCCTCTTTGGTTCCTAAGTCGCCGTTGCAATTGCAACCTGTAAAAGGCAGAGAGAGAGAGAGAGCTACTGTACCGTTGACGAAGCAAAATGGCCCAGTTCTATCGAAAAAAACCCTTAATTTGGAATCTCATCTCCATTTATGAGTCGGCTTCAACGAGCAGTGACGTCATTTTTGTTTCTTTTCCAAGTAATTCACAACGTGCAAAAGACTCTTCACAACCTCCAGTTCTATCGAAACTAAGGAATTGATTGGTATTTTACTTTTGAAATTTGGTAAATTTAATTTTGTATCTTTTTATAGCACTAATTTGGTATATGTATCTCACAATCAAAGTCATAGAGATTTAATAGACTAATAATATAAACCCGAATTAATGAAAGCTAAGTCTCTGTAGCAACTCAATTACATGGAAATTCTTAAAAGTCTACCCTTTAAGTCGTCCTCTTGGCTTCTTGTAATAAAACCTTGAGTTCGAATCATTCCATTACCACAAAGAACTCAATTTTCTTCAAGGTATGTTTCTTCTTACTCACATTTGATTATGGGAACTTGGGTTTTCTTAGAATATGGATTGGTTCTTTATGTAGCATGGACGTTGAAGCTCAGGAGACCCCTTTACTTCAATGGAAGCCCGATGATTATGGAGGTGTTAAGGTGAACTTGACAGAGCCAATGACTACTGAGGATTTTGTCCCAAAGCTGAGGGCTTCACTTGTGGAATGGAGGAATCAGGTATTTCAATAACAGACCACTTTACACAATTTATTAGAATGTTTCTTTTAAGTTTCTGTGGCAATGAGTTGAGAATGGGATTTGCAGGGGAAGAAGGGAATATGGTTAAAGCTTGCTGATGGGCTTGAGAATCTTATTGCACCTGCCAAAGCGGTAATTAAGAAGATGTTATGTTGAAAACTATGGAGTTTTTGGATTGATTCTTGTTCAGTTTTGGTGATTGCATTTTTTTTGTTTTATGATTCTTTTTAGGAAGGGTTTAAATACCACCATGCTGAGAGTGATTACTTGATGCTTGTATCTTGGCTCTCAGACTTGCACAACACTATTCCTGCTAATGCTTCTCATCGTATTGGGATTGCTGCTTTTGTCTTAAACAGTAACCGAGAGGTAACAAGAGAGTCTGTTTAGTTCTTCTGTAATGTATAGATAGGTCTTCTGTTTGTCTTTTTTCTCAGTGATGTTTGTTTATTGCCAACGAGTGTTTTGACCTCTGGCATGACGAGAACAGAACTGAACCTGGATGAGATATTTCTATGTGAAGGTGCTCGTTGTCCAGGAGATTGGCGGTCCTTTCGATGGTACAGGAGTGTGGAAACTGCCTACCGGTGTTATTAAAGAGGTGAGTTTGTGAAAGTTTGGCACATTTTTTGTGTCATCTGATCTTATTTCCCCAAAGCCTTAAGGAATATTTACAGTTACAACTACAAATACTTAAGTTTGTTTTTGCATTTCCCTCTGATATCATATCTAAGCTAACTGAAATTTACAAATCCACAGGGAGAGGGTGTGTGGGCTGGAGCAGAAAGAGAAGTGGAAGAAGAAACTGGTGTAAGTATCAGGCTTCAAATCTTGTAAACATTTCTAGTTTCATGGTTTTGTAATGACTTTGCGTTTTCTATTTTCTTTTTCTGCTTCAGATTAAGACGACATTTAAAGAAGTTCTAGCTTTCAGGTTTTAACCACATCTCTTCATTTGTGACTAAAAATGTGTTTAAATGTCTTGGCAACATATTTAATCTTAGACTGGATTATCATTCTTTTGCAGGGAAAGCCACAAATCATTCTCGGAAAAAAGAAAGACGGATATAATGTTCCTCTGTGAGTTGAACATGAAACCAGGCACTTTTGAAATCAAGAAAGAAAAGACTGAGATCTACGCTGCTAAGGTAAACATGTTACATATCTTGTGATGAACCTCAACCAAGGATGGTTTTAGTTTAAAGATCTTTTAACGGGTCAGCTCTCTTGTCAGTGGATGCCGATTGAGGAATATGTAAACCAACCCTGGAACCAGGAGAAAGAGTTGTTCAGGTTCATGGCTAACATCTGCTTGAAGAGATCGCAGGAGATGGAATATGTGGGTTTCTCCACTGTCCGCACAACAACTTCAACTGGTAGGGAGAGTTATCTTTACTGTAACACTGATCATGCCAACCTCCTCAACGCAACGCGTGGCCCAGCCTCCACCTCCACTCCCACCTCTCGTTGAAAAACCACTCTTCAGAACGTGTTTTCTGTTTCTTTGTTTCATGTCTATTGTTCAATAAGGCACCAGTCTTGCGTGTTTAAAGACTGGAGACTTGCCATATGTAATTTACCATATCCTCACTACAACATCATATGTAATATCTCTTTAGCCTGCAAAAAGAGTTATCTTTCCCTTTTGACGAATGTACTTCTTTATTGATTATACGAAAAACATTGATGTACTTGTGTGGGAAAGAAGACAGTTAGAGTGGCGTACTTGTGTTGAACTTGAGTGAACCCATAGATGCTGAGACTTTTGCCAAAAAACTGAGTTATTCACTTAAGGCATGGAAGGCACTTCAGATTCAAAGCCTTCCAAAGTTTCTTTAAAAATTATTAGTAACAACGAGACGATAGATAAAGCTTGCAAGAGCAAGACTGCGTTCGTTTTCTTTCAAGCTTTAAGTACTGTAACCACCTTTGCTTTGTGTTTGGGTTGCTCCATATGAATCTTGGTGAGATCTTGAAGAAGTTTGGTCGAAACATTGGTCTTCAACTCCCTGCTGTTAGGGCTTATTCAAAGCAGATATTCATTTCCCTTAAACATCTAAAGAATTGTGGGGTTTTTTACTGCGATAACACATGCTGGTCAATGAAGGGAAAAACGTCTTAAAGCTTTGTGACTTTGGTAATGCAATGTTTGTTGGCGAAAACGAAGTTACACCATATCTTTATGTTAGTCGCAGCAGCTTCTACAGATCACCTGAAATCATTCTTGGGCTTGCCTAATGCCTATGACCATCCATTGGATATATGTTCCTTTGGCTGTTGTCTGTATGAGCTTTATACTGGTAATTTTCTTTTCCAGTGTAACACGATCTTTTACGACTTCATATGGAACTGAAAGATTCTGGTTCAATCATTAAAGGTTACCCTGCTGAGGATCCCAAGAGGTTAAATATGCATATTCGTAATGCACTTCACATATTGAAACATGGAAAAAGTAAAAAAAAATTAGATCTCTTTTCTTCTTTGGAGACGAAGAAGACTCTCGGATACAATTCGTTCCAGGCTTGGGGAGTTTGCCGTTGCTCAGAGTATTAGATCTAAGTGGAGTAATGTTTGAAGGAGCAAAGTTACATTCCAGCATTGGAGAGCTCATCCACTTGAGACTCTTGAACTTATACGAGGCTTGGGTTTGTCATCTACCTTCTTCTCTACGGAACCTAAAGCGCTTGCTCTATTTGACCTTATTTGTTAATTATCTGGGGCCAGTTCATGTGCCAAATGTTTTAAAAGAGATGCTAGAGTTGAGGTATCTTTTCCTACCTCTTCCAATGGATGATACAACAAAGTTGGAATTGGGTGATCTAGTGAACTTGGATACTTTGTGTTTTTTCTAAACGAAACACCGTAGTGTGACAAACCTCCTCCCCCTGACTAGGCTTAGGAGTCTCAATGTATACTTCACTGGCAGCTGTACTTCTGAAACTATATCATCATCTCTCCGTGAAATGACATACTTCGAGACGTTTGCTTTATTCGATTGGCAAGAAATCCGTCTCGCCGATCATGGTGGAGAAGTAGTACTGGATTTTATCCATCCTAAGAACTTAGTGTTGACATGTAGTGTGCCAAAGTTATCCGATCAATATCGATTTCCTCCCAACCATGCACTGATGCACACATATCTCTAGTTCATTGCAACATGAAGGAGGATCCAATGCAGGTTCTAGAAAATTTGCTTCATTTGAAGTCAGTTGTATTCAAAAGTGGTGCTTTCGTTGGGAGGAGAATGGTGTGTTGAAAAGGCGGATTCCCTCAACTTTGTGATCTAGTATTAGCTGAACAAATGGAGTTGGAGGAGTGGAGAGTGGAGGAAGGGTCGATGCCCTGTCTTCGTACCTTGACTGCAAAAAGTTGGAGCTTCCGTATGAAGGAGAAACTGGTAGCAGGTGGGGAAGATTACTACAAAGTCCAACACATTCCCAGTGTTCAATTTATCAAATGTGAGGACGAATAAGAAGATAAACCATAAAAAAAAAAAAAACCAATGGTTCGTGTGAAACCAAGCTCAACTATTTTTTTTTTTTTTTTGATAATCCAGGTATCCGGACTGAAGCCCGACTAGCACCAAGGCTTGAGGCCGGTTCCCTGTCGGGCCGTCCGAACCCAACGCTCAATGTGTTTCCTGGAGGCCCGAGGGGGCCAGATGAAAACCTCGGTGGCCAACGGGAATCGAACTGCGGACACCATATTGGGATTACCCCCTCAAGTACCACTAGCCCAACCCACGTTGGTTAAAGCTCTAACTATTAATAATACATTGTTGTTAAATTTGTGATTTTGGTGTTCTGGCGAAAATGTATTCAGAATCATTACTTACTAGATCGATTGTGTGATGTGACAAACCCTTGATATTGTGTTATTTGTCGCCTGTCTCTTTTTCTTCAACGTTATGTTTGAAATAAATTTGTAACCATCTTTTCTTTAATTTCTCTTTCGCTTATACAGATTTGAATTTGAGCCTGTCTTCTATGACTTGCAATGGTTTTGTTATCTCGAGATAAAGAACCGTGGTGGCTCTAGCCTATCTTCGGCCAAAAGAAAAGTTTAAAACTTTCTTTAGACTTATAAACCATGGAGAACCAAAGAGAATCATAAACATGCAATGCACGAAAACGTTGTAGATCACGTGATCTGGTTGGAATTTAAAAAATTTCACACAGTTCATATATAGCTCATCAGTCAACAATATGAAAATGTTATCTTTAGTGTTTAGACCGATAATTTTATTGTAACTATATGGATCTGTTTTTGGTTGCTAGATATCTATAAAATGTAAATGAATATCTATCATTGGTAAATCACCAGCAAAAGAAAGTGTGGAGTAACCTGATGAAATAACTGAGTTACTCGTTGTTTTCAATATATACCTTATATCTATACTATTAAAAGAGAAGTACAAATGAAAATGGGTCGGGTTAAAATCAGAAAATTGACCCGAAATTCTGAAATCGGATCTTTGAAATTTTTTTGGAATATATATTCGAATTAATAATGAAAAATCGAAATAAAATCAAATACTACTAAAATAAATAAATCAAAATACTATTAAAAGTTTGTATAAATTACCACATGTTGAATAAATTATAATTATATCAATAAATACTAATATGCGGGCTGATCCGCCAACCCGCGGATGAAAACCGATTAAACCTATGACCCACTGCGAATTAATCCATGTGGCCCGCTTATTTGCGGATTTAATATATTTTCCCAAATCTGCCCCATAGTGAGATGATGTGGGCTCGACCCGCGGTTTTTGATCTATTTTGACTGCTCTAATTCCCATTAATAGTCTAATTTTAGAATTTTAAAACACATAATTCTATTTTGTAAATCATAATTAATACGATGGGTATATTTAGGGCTGGGCAATCGGGTACGCGGGTCGGGTTCGGGTAAAACCCGATCGGGTTCGGATCCTTCGGGTAGAGAAGTTTAGGACCCAATAGGGTAAATCTAAAATATCGGCTCGGTTTCGGTTCGGGTCCAATCGGGTTCGGGTCGGTTCGGGTTTAAAATTTCAGAACCGCTAAATACCCGAAAAAATCGGGTACCCGTCGGGTTCGGGTAAATTATACCCGATTATACCCAAATACCCAAAATTTTACCCTAATACCCGAAAGTTTGCCCAAATACCCGAAATTTTTACTCGAATATCCGATTTTTATCCAAAATTTTATCCTAATATCCGAATTTTAACCCAAAATTTTACTCGAATAACCAAAATTTTATCCAAACATCCGAAAAACTTACAAATATCTCATGTATAAATATATTTAGTCTTAAGTATTTAAATATAAATGTATTTCTTTTTTGGTAATTACTCTCGGATATTTGGATATAAATATATTTAACTCAAATATTAGATATATTTAAAATTTATATGTAATTTCGGGTAATCGGGTACCCGTTCGGGTATCGGGTTCAGATCGGGTTTTACCCTATACCCACGGGTACGACAATACAAGACCCAATAGGGTAAATAGCTAATACCCGTACCCGCCCCGAACCGGTTTTTTCGAGTCGGTTTCGGTTTGGGTTTTCGGGTCCGGGTTTTTTGCCCAGGCCTAGGTATATTTATAAACAATTTTATATTTTCTCTACGATTCGTTATTATGAATATTTATAAGTATACTATACGATTCGTTCTACTAAAAACACACACAATATTAAACGCAACGTATGTAAACCAATATTCTTCCGCGGTGGGCCGCGGGTCCGATCCTAGTAAAATTAGTAATCCAACTATCAATAACATGTTTTATGAATTACAATTATATTGTAAGAAAACTATTTCACATTAATAATTTCCAAAATTATATTGCTTGCTATATATTCGTATAGCAATGGAAATTAACTCTGAACTGTCCAATCTTTAAACACACAATGGAAATTTTGAGCAGTGACTAATTTTTTTTTTTTTTTTGACATCTTTGGATTGACAAGGCCCGATCTATAACCAATCCCTACTACGCGGGGTAACGCGACTTGTGGAGTCGAATTTCGGTGGGGAAGACGGAGTCAAATGGACTTAACCTGATGAAATTACTGACTAATTACTTAGATTGAAAACTTGATAATATTTACATCTATAATGTATCGTATAGGGAAGTCCATCGCGCGTATTATCATGGACTTCCTAACACAAATGAATCAATCTTATTTCTAGCGGCAAATGAAAGAGAAATCTTGTGCTGCTTAGTAAGTTTGGTGGAGACATTGTATTAGATTTACGTAGTAGAGATAATTATTATTATAACAAAGGCATAATTCTTTAACCTAACAACATTATAGAAACCAGAGAGCACAATGAAGTGCAAAAAGTACTAAAATTAATTTGCCATCTGAGTTTTATTCAGATAATAATTATACGAAATCCCCAACATATATGGGGGAAAAAAAAGGAAGACAGATTAGGTATACAATTGTAGATACAGATTAGGAAGACAGATCTTCTTTGCAAAGCACCGGATATTGTGCACAAAAAAAAGAAGAAGAAAAGCATTTGGATGTAAATACATCAAGCTTTGATCTCAAACCTTGAATACTTAATGGATCCGATGGAGATATCGATTTCAATGAGATTATCTTCTTCGATAAAATCATTTAACTCAGTTAATAGGTCAAAGAGCGGGAAATCTTGAACCTTGTTGTGGAGACAGAGATTGTTCTTGTTACTAGTGTAGTGGTGACCAACATAGTGACCACTCGGTAAAGACAACTCTATGAGACTCTCATCATCGGGTATTGCGCCATCATCATCCTCTTCATTGGTAGTCTCAAGGTTATCCTCGGATTTCCCGGTAATATCTTCAGTGGCAATATAGTCTCGTTCTTGATCTTGATCTTGTTTTGATGGTTGGAGTGAAGAATGAGTACGTGAGATTGGGAAGAAGAAAGAGGAGAAGAACAAAGCAGCAGAAGTAAGGAGGAGGTGTAAGAAACGAAGGCCAAAGATATGAAGAAGTGGAGGGGCATGGAGAGAGACCCATAAAAAAGGCCTCTTCAACAAAATTGAAGCCAAACTCATCAAGAAGTACTCTTCTTCTATTTTCTTCTCAAGATTCATTTCAACTCTCAAATAATATGATCAAACCCTAGAAAAAAGACAGAACCTAAAAAAACTAAGTGGGTTGATGTAAGAACTTAAGTACTAGTGTTTGGACTCTTAATAGGAAAGTGCTTTGTAACTCTATTTAGGAATATCATCAAAATAGAAAGGCTATTAATAGTAATACCACCCTAGGTAATTGCAAGATTTGATTATATTAATGAAAATAGAAAACCAGAAACCAGTCCATTGTTTGTTTTAATTTGCTTCGAGATTTGAGGAGCAACAACAGCTCCAAGCTGCACTCACTAATCCCGATTCTCACTAATTATAGTATCATTTAAAATAGTTTTACTCTAATGTATTACGTGCATAGTTATTGAAAAGTAATGCATCAAATCTTAGAACATTCTTTGATGATATTTCTTAGAAAGAGTGATCTACACTATTTGATAGCAATAAGTTACATCATCATCTTTTTACTTAACTTCAATATTACATCATATTATAACAAAAATATTTATGCACCAAAACAATTAATAATTTGGGCATCTGAAATTGATTCTCTTGGAGACTTCAAAGGCCAAAACCCTTGAGCTTTGAACTTTGTACACTCTCCAAGGCATAGAGAGTTGGTTAGCCATGTGCCACCATCGGGCGTCATCTTACTTACTTTAAGATTATACAATTATAGAAAGTTTATAAACCAAAGATAATGCGATAACAATACTTATTAATATCAGGGTGGTCAAATTATCCGTTGTTTCGTTTTGTTTTGTTCAAACTTTTGAATTCTTTAATGTTTCGAAGCAATAAAAATATAGTACAATATATTATTTTTCGAATATGAAACAAATTACAGATACTTGCCATAATACATATCCATAAGTTTAATATGTATGTATACTTTACTATATTATTAGAACGTCCATTTCCATTTTGTACATATATCAAAGTAAGAAGTAAATAAACAGGGCTTAGAGGAGTGGAAATGAACAGGGCTTAGAGGAGTGGAAATGAACAGGGCAAGATGGCAGCTCCCTAGCTCCTTCAAATTGGGTCAAATGTGATGTGTTGTGTTTTTATCGGTTTTGAGTCTTTGTTTTCTTTCCTAGATCATATATTTTATAGAGTCAAAGTGTGCTTTAAGAGTCTTTTAGTCCTTTATCGAGTCTCTACAGGTTTTAAGTTTCTTTGGAGGAAAACGAGCTGTTTTGGGATATAAACACACATTTGGAAATGCAGTTTTGTTTGGACGTGTCAGACGTTTGACCTCATATGGAAGACTTTCCACCGTTAGATCTTTCTGAATTTTTGACACAAACTAGATGAAGATGTTCGCTTGATTTTCCAAGTGGTTTTAGGGAAATCTAACGGTGAATTCAAGAGTTATACTCGAATTAGTGAAGACAGGTCATTCTGGCGAGCATTTGAAGCAGTTGCGGAGTTGGAGACCAGAAGATCCAGATCGATCGATCTACTTGTGGATTGATCGATCCCATTACCCTGACGGACGAGAATCAGTTTCCAGTGATGCGGGATCGATCGATCCACCCACCGGATCGATCGATCCAACCCCAGACGCCCAGTTTGGTTTTCCTTAACCAGTTTTATTTCTTATTTTCTGGAATTGGGTATAAAAACCCGGAGACCTAATTTTCTCATTGACGCTTCTTTCTCTGCAACTCTTGAGACTTCTCTTTGGAAGCTTTTTGGGATTCTAGAGATTCATACTCTTTGACACTTTGGAGAAGATTTCTAAACCCTTGTTCTTTATTTATCAATTTAATTATGCTTTTCTTTCAATCTATTTGTCTTGTTTCTATTGCTATGTGTGAGTAGTTCTCCAATTGGGTTTAGGGTTCTAATTAGGAGATTCAATGGATTAATGGATTGATTGTTATTAGGGTTCTCATTCTCTAGGTTCTTTTATTCACATGTTCTTAATGCTAGAATAGGATTGATCACCCGGTTGTAGATTAGAGGTTTTTTCTATGCATCAAAAGTGTTCGATGGATTGCCTGAAAGAATGTGAATTGATCAATGTATTTCTAGCCAACGAAAGTTGACGTTAGGACGCATTGTGAACTTAATGAACTTGTTTGATAATGTGAATTTGACTAGGAAATTACATGCGAAAGTTTAGTAATCGAATAGTCGAATTTAGTGATTAATGTCTTGAAAGAGAAATAGTCTAGTTGTGTTCATGTTCAAGAACGGTTCTTAGTTGTTGAATTCTTTGTCTCATGTTTCCATTGATCATTGATCTCTGAAATACCCTATGACCCAATGTCTTTAAATCTTGAAAGTTAAATCGTTTAATTTATTTGCATTTTTATTTTACAATCTGAAAACCCAAACAAAACAACTATTCGCTTTAGCTAAGAACGAGTCTCGGAAATCCTTAGAGTATCTTTGGTCCTTGTGGATCGACCCCGTATATACTACCTTACGGTTAAGTGTATTTGGTAATTACTCGAGCAATCAAAATGCAATTCTGATGGTGCTTGGTCGAGAGAAGGTAACCAATGTGGTACTTAGAAATCATGATGGGAAAGTATAATGGATGGGCAACAGCAATTCCGAGGGTAAGTAACAACAGTGATTGAGACAGACATAGAGGCACTGAGATGGGCCATGTTGATCATCTCTAGGTTTCAGTACGGGTCATATTTGAGACAGATTATAAGGAGCTTGTTTGTATCTATGATCACCAAGTGAGAAGATTGGCCATACCTTCGACCGCTCCTTCAAGACATCCATTTCATGGCGACTTGGCGAGTTCTTTTGCGGAAGTTAAAGTAGTGCATGTTTGTCTACCAAGAAGAAAATGAAATGGTTGATGGAATAGTAATTTGTATTCAAAGTTGCATTTGTGAATTGAGATTCCAAATTGTATTTTACTGGGTAAAATCACATTTTTAACCCTGTCACCGGGTAGCATTTTGAAACTCGAAAAAATTTCACTATAAACCATCAAGATAATTTTACTTAACACTTTAAACTTTTAAACTAGCTATTTTGTTTGCACCGCCATTAAAAAAGATGGAACAGTTAATTTCTGTTAATTTATTTAATTTAAATTTAAATTAATTTTATTATTTATTACCATTAATAAAAATCCAAGAAAAAAAACTTATTTTTTGTTTACTCACCGTCCGACCATGATATTTCATGATAAACCTCTGAAACTAGAGACTGAAGTACAAGAAAAGTTTTTAGTAGAAGAATAGAAACCAAAGAATATAAAATATGAGGTACAAGAAAAAATTAAAATAGAATAATAAAAACCAAAAAATGTCGAAGGTTAGCCGGAAAACAAAACATTCTCCGTATTAGAGGAATCGATTGGGAGATTGATCCAAAAACGTTTTCACTCTCCAATGTTTAGTTGGGCAAAAATCCATGTGAATTTAAATTTGATGGTAATGAGATATTGTAGTTGAGCAGAAGAAAAAAAAAGGTGAAAAGAAAATGATAAAAAGGTTGAAAACACATAGTTGAGAACATATAGCAAATAGTGCAATAGATAAAATGAAAATTTTATAAATTGGTACTAGGCGTTTAGTGAAGTGTGCTTCTATCTTCGTTTCTACTAGTGTTTTTTTTCCTCTTCTTAAAAAAAATCTACTATTTTTTCGAAGAAAAAAGTTTGTTTAATTTCATTAGTTTGTTCTTTGTCTCTGTCTTTCTCTTAATTTAAATGTATATTTGGCTGATTCATTTACAACATATTATAAAAAGTCTGTTTTTGTTTCGTAAATATATTTAGTTCTTGAGAAAATTAGCTGCTATACCACATTTCACCGAAACATTTTTGGTTCTACCACTTCATATACTCATTTTTCTCTTGTACCACAATTGCTGTTGGTAAAGACCATTTTACCCTCCAACATGAGAGACCAAAACCTGTAGTTGATGTGCCCCTCTGACTTTTCTGCCTTCCTTTATTTTTCTACATTGGTAACTACAATTTTCTCTTTCTTTATTTGTTGTTACATTTTTATTTTCTTTATTTATTTCTTTCACTTTCATTTTATCTCTCTCTTTGTCTAGTTCTTTCTCTCATTCACGACAAAACTTTTTTCATATAAACATTCTCTACTGTTGTCCAGATCTTGTCCCCGAATGGGAATTCTCTGTTGCGTTTAGATCTTGTCCCCGATTCATCATTTTGTTTTATTATCATGAATCCCACATTTTGTCTACCAATTGTTCTCGTTTAAGGGTTTTGAATTTTATTTAGATTTCTCGGCATCTATTTTGGTCCACAGATTAGTCGAACAATATTGTCCTCACTTACCCGGATTATTGAACCTTTTTTTTTCCCTCTGGCTGGTAAAACAAAGTTGTCTCCGAGTAAATCCAGATCTTCGTCTTCGGCTCTCTGGCGGAATAAAATAAAGATCAAGTTGTCTCCGAGTAAATTCAGATCTCTGGCTGGTAAAACCACATCATCTAGCGATGGACAATCAAGAGAAGTTGTCCCCGAGTAAATCCAGATCTCTGGCTGGTAAAACCACATCATCTGGCGATGGACAATCAAGAGATCTGGACTTATTCTTGGGGGACATCATTCACTCTATTTCATAATTATTGTCCATGGTAAATGTAAACTGCATTTAATGCAATGTCTTGTCATTCTTCTCTGACACAAAGTTGTCTTTCAGACAAAGTTGTCCTTCTCTGACACAAAGTTGTCCCCGTTTCCCAACCGGCGTCTACTGTAGCTCCTTCCCCTAACACATACCTGACGCACAGAGAAGGGCAAAATCGTCCAAGAATGCTAAATCCATTTCAAATGTGGTACATTTGCTAAGATTTTCCCAAAATGTGGCACATTTGGCAAAATTCCCTTAGTTCTTTGCCTCTTTGGTTTAGGATGATTTTATAATTTTACTACCAATGTTTTCAATAAATATGTATGCCAAGCAGACCAAACCAAATATGCAACATAGATTCAAAAAAAATCTACATATCTATATTTATATACAAATAGGTTCACAGAACTAGCTAAGTATCTAATGGCAGAGAAATAGATCATGGATATGAAATTATTTTATGATAAGTTTTGTGTGATCCACTAGACGATTAATCTTGTGTGACTTGTTTATTAGAGAACATCATCTTTGCAAGAGTTTTGGTGAGTATAGGTAAATGACTTGATGTTAGAATAAACTTCCCATCAACTAAACTACATGTAGTCCAGATGCAAATAAACACTATTGAGTGAAAAATACATTAAAAAGAACAAATCAATTTCTTATAAATAATTGTGATAAGCATATGAAAATGAAAAGGAAGAAAACTGAAATTCCTACATAAAAGAGGGTGCCACATGTCGGCCAGATGCAAACCTATAGTAGGTTGCCTATTGTTTGCAATATAGGCTACAACAAACCTTGAAATTATGAATCTGATTAATTATACTTATCCAACTAATCTTTTGATTAACCAACGCTTTTTTATTTTATCAACTAAACTTTAGTTAATGGTCTCGAAAGGAATGTTGTTTATCTACGAATATGGCCCAATCTTAGAAGTTGGGGACCATGACCATCTTAAACATTTTTTTGGATTCCTATATTAAACCATCTTAAACTTACGAGTATTTAGAAAAATACTCAAATTTTTATGTTAGTTTATCATTTTTAAATGTGAATATGCAGTCAGGTATAAATACTTTTTTGTACACATTATAGTGTCTGATATCAATTAATATCCTCTATAATTTTATTTAAAAAAAAAACTGTTTAATATCACTTGTATCAAAAAGGTATTGAATCACACGTAAAAATTTAACCGACATAGAGATGAATTGATTAAAAAATGAATACTCGTTTTAATTATTAAACTTTAAACTTTTCTAAGTGACATAATTATGTGTCAGTGTCACACTGTCACTACAAGAAATCTACAATGTAAAGTCATTTAGTTAACGACAGTTAAGAAAATGACGTAAACTTGTTTAAAAACAAAGTTACTAAACCGACGTTATAAACCAACGCAAAAGTGCTTCATGCTTCTGGCCATTGTCATTACGGACTCAATTTGGGTCCTTCTAATTTGTTTATTGGGTTAAAGCCCAACCACTAAACACGAGCTTCTTCTTTCTTCGGAGAACAATTTCATCCTCTTCTTCTTCAATTATAAGTTGTTTAGTTTGTTGGATTAGTGGAGAATTGATCTTTCGATGTTCTTTTGGTTTTAGGTTCCTAAAGAACATGTCTTTGTTCAAGGTGACTATACTCATAACTCGAGAGACTCAAGAAACTTTGGTCATGTACCTTAAGGTCTTATTCAAGGCAGAGTGCTTTGGAGGGTATAAGCTTTTTGTCATTAACATACAAATATAGTCAGATTAACAGATTTCGGAACTTCAAATGTGTTATTTGCATTTGTTTTGGTAATCTATTTGGCTAATCTTCGGTATGTATAATGATGTGTAGGTTTGGCCATTTCAAGATTTTGGACCTCTTGGACCAACCCCAACTTAGCATATGAGTTAGCTTTGTCCTTAGGCCGATGAGATGACTGTGGCGGATTGATAGTGTGGTTTATGCCGAGTGAGTCTAGTTAATGACCAACTGATTATATAATGGAGTCATTGGAAGATGCAAAAACTGTATGAGATAGATACGTTTAGTTCTCTCTTCGATCTGAAAATATCGATACCACTTGAAATTTAAGATCAACTGGAAATTTCTTTAATACCACTTGAAATCTAATATCAATATTTCTTTAATACCACTTGAAATCTAAGATCAACTGGAAATTATCTCACCATGGATGAGATGCAGGATCATCATACCATCCACGAAGATGGGAGAATCTAATCGCTCACGAAAAGTGAGTATTTAGTTCATAGCAAGTAACATTATGTATTGGTCTGCATTGTATGTGAGAGTGTCCTCTATATCAAATTTTAAGCAAAGATCGAATGTTCTGTATGAAGCCAAAAAACCAAGATTTTTCATCGGAAAATCTTATATATATATATAAAATAGCATAATAGCATAATTATATGTATATATAATAGCATAAAATAATTAAAAAGATTAATTATATGCACGTCGGTTGTATAACTGACTCAAACACTTCATCGTCTGGCGGATGGGTTAGCTAACTATGCGTTTTCTCTTTCTCTAGGTTTTCATTCATTTGATTTTGTTCCGAACACTTTGGATTCGATTTTGAGAGAGGATAGTCTTAAGTCAACACGACCAAGGCTAATCCGTTTGTAATGTCGTTTATTTTCATATTTTAATAAAATACGGGAAACATTAATCACAAAAAAAAAAAAAACAGTTTTAGCTTACGTCACTTAAAACCGTTGTGAATGTGAGTAAAACCGACACAAATCTTGAGACGTTAAAGTAAATGTCGGTTATGTATTTGATATGTTAAGATATTTTGTGTCGAAAGATATTACGTTGGTTTAATAACCGTTGTCATTCATTTAAGTCAGTTTATATGTGACGTAAAAGTCAAAATAAACCGACGTCAAGTGCTTCTCTCTTGTAGTGTTTATTTTTATTTCTGCCACTATGCATGAATATGTGTTTGTTAATATCCTTGTTTGAAAAATCGCTAGGCGCTAGTCGGGCGCTCGGCATGGGCCTAGCGATTAGTCGGAAAATCGGATTAAAATCGAGGATTAATCGGGGATTAGTTTTAGGGTTATTTTAATATTCTTAAAACATATCAATCCAATATTATTTTCAAAATTGCAGTAAATACATAAAAATGTATTTTTGAGACAAATTTTTATGATTTTTATTACAAATTTATGATTTTTATTAAAATTTGAACATAAGTTATTGTAAAACATTACAAAGTCCCAATTCAAATGATTGAATAACAAAAATTAAAAGTTTTTTTATACTAGCAATCTAAAAATAATCGGGGTATGTAAGATTAGGCGGAGAATAATCGGATTAGGCGGGAAGTAATCGGATTAGGCGGAGAGTAATCGGGTGACTGATTTCTTTAGAGGATTAGTCATTAATCGAGGCGGATAGGGTGGGCCTAGCGATTAAACGGGGAGTAATCGGGTCTAGGCGGGGATTTTTAGAACAAGGGTTAATATACATTGAAAAATATTAGAGATTCTATTTAGAGGTTATTAGAGAATCTCATCCTACCACTCCACTATGTAAGGGGGAAGAGTGACTTCACAGATTATATTGTCTGAAAGTTAAAAATGAAGCAACACTCATGGGAGTTTGTAACCTTCGCTGGAGTAGTTTCCCATTACATAGCAAAGTGGAATCTTTAGTATAGGCGATGAAAAACATAATTGCCGAACAAAAGAGTACTGAAGTTGTTCTTGTCACGTACTGCTCTGATCTGGTGAACATAGTGTCTACACCAACATGGCGGCATTTGTAATATATTTGGAAAAAATAGAGAAGAGTAAGGAAGTTTTCTGATCATTTTCTATTTTTCTTATTTTTTTTTTTTTTGTCAACAACTTAAATTAAACGCTCAAAAGAGCCATTCCTGCGAAATGTTGTTTACATAAGTGATGTGAAGCGGTTCGGTACGAACTTGTCGAGCCAATTTATCCGCTTTTACATTTGCGCTACGAGGAATTAAAGATAAAGAAAAACTTGAAAATTCTTCCCTGTCACTCTGAAAGTCCTCCAGGTACACTGAAAAAGCCGGCCATTCGGTTGGAGAAGACACCATCTTCACCAAATCTGAAAAGTCTGTAAAGAAAGCTACATCTTGGTTGTCAGCACCAATCATACACTTCATCGCCCAAAGGAGAGCTTCGACTTCTGTATGTAGAGGAGATATACTTCTACGGATGTTGGCAGCTCCCATGGTTGACATCTCTCCATTTTCTTATTTCTTGTAACGCTAATTTTAAAGAAAAATGTTTCTCAGCTACCTGAAGGAATCGTCAACACATGGTGACATAAGAAATCGCCAACACATGGTGACATATGCAGACAATATAAATGTATCAAACAAACCATCTTCATCATCATTAGCCTCATCATCTGACATCTCATCTTCACCATATGTTGGCGCTTCCTAAGTATCTGAGAAACATTTTTCCTAATTTTAAAGCGGAGAAGTTAGCATAAAATGTTTGTGTCTACGTACAATATTTTATGTATATAAATAATATCCTCAACCTTGTCTTTCTTAGTCTTTAATTAATACAATACTCTTGACAATAGGACAAAAAACTTCTCTGTTAAGAACTTGACTCGGCAAGTCTTCGTATGTATTATTTCAATGAAAATTAACTAAAGGGTTGAAATAATGAATAAATGTTTTAGCGTGGACATCAACCAAACCTCTTTTTTTTTTTAATGTAATCAACCAAACTTTTAGCAATGGCAAGAAACGTAAAAACAAAAGAGAAATGGAGTTGTAGACACAAATAGAGTCTCTCCAAGTATTGCCGTGAGAAATGGGTTTAAAATTAAGTGTTAATTAAAAATAATATTTTTAGTGGATTGTGACGACAAGGCAACCTAACACGAAATAATGTGTCAGGTAATATTTCTCGAAATCTTTCGTTTTTGTCCAACATTAGCTTTTTATTGGGAGAACCGGAGATCGACGATCGAGATGATCGCCCAAGATTATGGAAATCATGAAGATCGAGAAGGATCTAGAAGATTATCATAAATTAGTTTAGGAATATTTACATTTATCTTTAAAGTATTATTTACATTTATATTTATCATAAATTAGGAAACTTAGATTAATCTCATCTCTATATAAGAGAATGTATTTTGTAACTTTATTCTTATGAGAGTCTATTATAATTCTTCCTAAACACTTTTGTGTTCTTTACTCTCATCAATTTATCACTTTTCCCACAACCTACTAAAAAAAATTAGTGCCACAAAACACAGTTTGAAAGTGAAAAAAATGTCATTTGTGGATAATCCCCGGAATCTATGGCTTCGGGAAAGTTTGTGGATTAATTCATGTCCCCATTCCTACATTACATATATCCGTAAAATCTTTGTCGGAACCGGATGAACAAGTGCTGAATTGGGTTAGCAGCCGCAATAGCATATGGGTTTGGGTGTGTTTTGTGGATTAGTGATCGGACACATCTTTGCTTTGACAAAACTTCGCTCTAAGCCCAAAGGCCAAAACCACCTATCCCATTAATCACAGTTTGTCTGAGAATCTGCAAGCTTCTACTCCATAAACTAGTTCGTCAAGTGTTTGTCTTTAATTTTTTTTTTCTTTTGCTCGGTAATTTTCTTTTCAACTAGTCGTGACATTTTTATGCTTGGTGGTTTTCTAATAAACGTTGTCGATGTTATAATATGTGATGTTCTCACGATTTCGTGATATGGTTCATGTGATTGTCTCTATGTTTCTCAATTATCAATCTTGAAAAAGAAATCTTTAGAAAAGCCAAATCTTTGAGGAAGAATCTTGATGAGTGACTTCGTAATGCTAAATTATAAACCCATTTCTCACGGCATTACTTGGACACCCTTGTTAGATATTTGACATGCAGACGTACAATATCTTCTTGTCTATGCATGCCTACTCCTCAGCTCTAAAAGTTGAATTTGATAGTCTTCTTCTAAATTTCTCACCGACGACAACCATCTTTTATTTTAGTTTAATTATCTTTGAAAACTATAATTAACACATTGACACAATTTACATCTTTTCATGGTCCATCAATAATGACCCAATCTAACTGTATAAAAAATGCGACATTGATCGACATGCATCCAAAGAATAATGACTTTTATTCCTTTTTAATTATTTTTGGATTCCGAGTAATGACTTCTAAAGTTTCTATCAAGTCAATGGCCTTTTGTGACAAAACAGATATCATCAAGTCAATGGTCTTTTAGTTTTGGCGTGTTTAATGATATTTTCAAAGAAGCTTCCGACAAAAAGGAAACCCAAGAAGTCGAGAAGTTTCGTCGAAGGTAGTAGCTTAAATTGTGACTGTTTCAAGTTGTGTATCAAGCAAGTTCTAAGTACATTTTGTTATGAATTGATTTATTAAAAAATGCTATTTTCGATAAACAAAATTTTCTTTTCTTTTCTTTTATTATTATTTTTTTTTTAAACGAAATTTTTCAATTGACAATAGGGATAATGTTTGATTTATAAGAATATATATTTGAGACATTTACCTAAATATTAACTATGCATCTAGAAACTAGAAAGCTATATACGACCATTTCCAAAAATAGTTGATAATGAAATTCAGATTAGATATGGGAGAAAATGCTGAGAAATTCTATATGATGGAACATTGGAAGATGTAGACGTTAGATAATTAAACGCTCTAAGTTATTTTTCTTTGATTAGTATTTATTTTTTATATATTATCCAAAATATTATCTCTTATATTATCGATAACAATTTGTTATATTTCTTAATAAATGGAAGCTAAGTAAGATTATATTTTAGAAGTAAACAGAAGTAATCAAAAAAGAAGAAGTAAAAGATTAATTGGTTGCCCACACGGCTGTGGTCTAGTGGTAAGGGAGAATTGGAGAAAAGTTGGAAGGAACTAACCCAGGTTCGATATATCTTGGAAACAAAAATCACATTTGTGTGGGAAGTCTAGATGGCTTTGGCCAAGTTGGCCAAGCAGATTCACATGGTATCCGGGATTAGGCTAATTGAATATCCCCGGGCATTAGTCGAAAAACATTCCAAACTCGGGATTAGGCAGTGTGGTAGTCCAACACCTAGGTGTTGGCGACGAGTTCACATGGTAGCACTTCGGAGCGTTTCCCCAAGGCTGACCGGATCAGCCGATCGGTTATATCAGAAAAAAAAAAAAAGATTAATTTGGTTTGAATGGTTCAAAAGAGAAAAATAAAACTGTTTTAACCAAACGACAAATAACTAAAATGATTAAAAAACCAAACACAACCCACCCAATTATAAAAAGAAAATTGGTTCGCCAGACTTCTCATTCATCAGTTTTTTTTTTCTCAACCAACATTAATTTTCTTTACTTATCATTCACCATTATTTTTCTCAACTAAAGGGGGAGAGAAATCGAGAGAGAGAGGATGGAATCTCGAAAACAAGAAAGAAGCGTGAAGGAGATGAAAGTAGTCACTAAGATCATAGCATTGGCATCCATTTTCTCTTTTATAGTACTATCTTACTCTTCCTTAATCTCTTCTCTTCAACAAAGACTCCATTTGCTTTCTATGTATAGCAACCTTGTGGACAAGAAGTACATGTTCTTGTTATGCAATGGGATTGTGTGCTTTATCGTGGGGAGTTTCCGTGGGAATTCTGAATCTTTTTCGCACGGTAAAGCTTTTAACATCGTTGAACAAACGAAAGAAGTAAGGGTCAAAGACATGAGGGAAACAAAAGTCAAGAAAGTAGTGGCACTACTTGAAGAAGAAAATGTTTCTAAAGAAGAAGAAGGAAGAGTTGTTTTATTTAGAGGAGAAGAAGTTGCATTGGTTGTTAAGGAAGATGAAGGAATATTAGTACAAGACCTCGCTATCGTTAGAATGGATAGTTATCATGATGACGATGAGACTAACGATAGTTTATTAAGTTCCGAAGATTTGAACAAGAAATGTGAGGATTTCATCAGGAAGATGAAGGCAGAGATTCGATTCGGCAAGACAAGCATATAATTTTCTTATTCCCGGATAGATGACTTTTTAGAGTTTAGTTAAACTATCTTTAGTATTCATATTCGGCAGGAGAAGTATATAATATTCTCTCTTACAACGAATGGATTCTGTATTTTTGGTGCCCAGTTTTATGTATGTGGTCACTTTGTTTTTCTCCCTTCAATTCCTATATTTCAATCATATGAATCCATGCAACATAATGCTTTCTATGTCAAGCTGGAAACTTTTTAAACAGGAAAATAAGAGAGCAAAAACAACCAATTTCGAAAGGATGATGAGTTAGGAAATCAAATGTCTTATCTATGAACCACTGGAACATGAATCAAAGACGAATAAGGTCAATGATTGGATCGAAACCTCCACGGTACACCAACTGGATTTAGCCCAGTGATTCATCTTCATCTTTAAACTTGTGTCATGTTCTCTATCTGCTTCCATCCACTATCTAATTACATCTATGGATGTTACAAGAGATTTAGTGAGGAGTGAGAACCATTTTCTCCATACGCAAGTCATTTGGTCATGGTATGTCAACACATATGATCTCTAAATGTGACAAAGAAGAAGAAATCAGCTCTATTCTTGCTGGAATGATTCATGATGCATAAAAGGCTTCTCTTACTCTGTTTTACTCTCTTAAGCTGAAACTGATTTACACTTTCAGCTTCAGCATTTGCATAATTATTTCGATTCAGCTACACTCAAGAGCTCTAAAGCAACAGTGACACACTATTTTTTTAATGGAATCTGAAGAAAAACAAAATTATGCAACAAGAACACCAAGCCAACCAGCAATAGAGATATTGGAGAACAGAATACAAAATAGTAAGTATCTTGCAACAACAGAAGTCATACGTCTCAAATTGAAAATACAAGCCGGAAAAAAAACACAAACAAAGCCTTAGATCCTATCGATATCTTCGTCCTCAAACTCAACATAGTCATCACCATTATTATCATCATCATCTTCAAGATCACCAACAATTCCTTCATTAAGACGAGTATTCTCTGGAAGCTCACCATAAGCCTTAAGAAGCCTAGCCTCATCAGACATATACTTGAGAATCACATCCGCTTTGTCATCTTGGTAATCCCTCAAACCAACAAGTACAATGTCACCTGCTGCAATCCAAACCTTCTTGTGCATCTTACCACGGATATGGCAAAGACGCTTGGTTCCATCAATACACATAGCTTCACATCTTCCATTACCAAGCATACGAAGAACTTGTGCGTATTCTTGTCCATCTTCTTTGAATATAAGCTCACGCTTCTCGTCGTCCGCTTCGTTCTTTCCTCTCTTCCTGTTCTTTCCTCCCTTTCCCTTGTTCTTCGGCATGGTATCTACCAATCATACAGAGTTTCAGTTCAAGATTCTTCCTTTAAACATGCAAAGCAAAACTCTTCTCTCTTATAAACTACACAAGACTCTAAAACTAAAACCAGATACCAAAACAAGAACCTTTAAGTCGCAAATGAAACAAGAACCTAAGACTAACGATTAAGCTATGCTATTGCAGATACCAATCCAGGGTTTTCAATAAAAATCGTAACTTTGAATTCGGATTGAGGAAAAATCAAAACTTGACAAGAATCAAACAAAACCCAATTAAGGAATCAGGGGTAAACAACGAAGATCGATCGGCGATAAAGAACTTCGCCGCCGACTCAATTACTGAAAACCCTAAATCGAGAATCAGGGGTAAGAGACGAAATGAATTAATATAGAACACGAAGCTCACCACTAACGAACGATTTGAATCTGAGATTAAGCTAGAGAACTCTTGGAAGCGATAGATTCAGAAATTTGTTGAATTTAGGATCAAAAGTTTTGTAGCTTGCGGCTGCGAAAATATTCTGGATATCTCCAGAAACCTGTTTATAAAATAAAGTACACGTGTTTTGATTGCCCTTAGTTTTAGGTTTTATTACGGAAAAATGTCGTTTAATAGCCGAACTTTAAAAAAATGGCCGTTTAATACGTGAACTTGTTATATGGCCAATTTAAACATGAAGTAAACGTTGATCGGCCAATTTAAACATGAAGTATTCGTTGACCGGGCCAAAAACCACACGCCTCACACGCCTCAAAAACAACAACATTCTCAAAGATCGGAAATCTTTTGGGTCATGAATCGATGTCGAAGAAATTTGAGTCGTTTGACAGTCCGTTTGTCCTTCACTCTTCCAATCATCTAGGTTTATCGATAGTTGCTTATAAACTAGATGGAGCTAATTACAATAGTTGGTATAAAGCAATAAGGATTAGTCTAGATGCGAAGAATAAGCTTAGCTTTATTGACGGATCTTTGCTGCGACCATGTGAAAGTGATTATAGTTTCAAGATCTCGAGTATATGCAATAGTATGGTGAAATCATGGATTCTTAATGTTATGGACAAGAAGATATATGATAGCATTTTATATGAAAAAATACTTGGGTTTACTACTAGAGGTGAACCCTTTTATTTACTCTCTTTTTTTTCTAACAAATCACAACTTATCAACTAAAATAAACAAAATAAAAATTTAATAATTTATATATCGATTTGGATTTATAAGGGAGTATTAGGGTTTATATTTTATAATTAAACGAGGTTAAATATCGGTTTGAGTGTATAAAAAGGAGTTTGGATTTACATTTTACAATTAAACGAGATTATATGTCGGTTTGGGTTTATAAAGGATGGTTAGGATTTATATTTTATAATTAAACGAGGTTATTTGTCGGTTTAGATTTATAGAAGAGAATTAACATTTAAAATTTATAATTAAACTAATAAATAAATTTCATCCCGACATTATTAATTTATAGATGTTTTCCTGTACATTCTTTTAGATCCAAAATTGAGCTGATACTCAAACCGAACTAACTATTTTTCAATCGAACCAAATTGGAAAATCAAAGTTGCGAAAAAACAAAAATTAAACCAAACCAAATGTTGATTGGCAAAAAAAAAAAAAAAAAAAAAAAACAAATGTCAGATTGAATGAATGGTAAGGTTCCGTAATAAAACGGGAAAAATGTCGTTTAATAGCCGAACTTTTAAAAATGGCCGTTTAATACGTGAACTTGTTATATGGTCAATTTAAACATGAAGTAAACGTTGACCGGCCAATTTAAACATGAAGTATTCGTTGACCGGGCCAAAAACCACACGTCGTTATCTGTCGTTAACAAGATCCGATAACAGCCGTTAACGATTCCGTTATTACCAAAAACGACGTCGTTTTGGGCTTAATCGCCGCCGTGAATCCTCTACATCTTCCAGCTACTTACCGGAGCATCAACCGTCGAAGCTGAAAACTCCTCTCCTTCCGATGTTCATCCTCCTCCTTCTCCGAGAAGCACCACAACGCGAATCCGCCCAAATCAGATGACCTAGTAGAGCTTCCTCTCTTCCCACTACCTCTCGTTCTCTTCCCCGGCGCAACAATCCCGCTTCAGATTTTTGAGTTCCGTTACCGAGTCATGATGCAAACGCTTCTCCAATCCGATCTCAGATTCGGCGTTGTCTACTCCGACGCTGTTTCAGGTTCTGTAGCTGGAATCGGTTACGTCGGAGAAATCGTGAAGCACGAGCGTCTCGTCGATGATCGATTCTTCTTAATCTGTAAAGGTCAGGAACAATTTCGCATCACGGATCTCGTCCGTACGAAACCTTACCTCGTCGCGAAAGTGACGTGGCTTGAAGATCGACCGTCCGGTGAAGAGAATCTGGACGAATTGGCGAACGAGGTTGAGGCTTTGATGAAAGAAGTGATTCGATTGTCGAATAGATTGAATGGGAAACCAGATAAGGAATCTCAGGATCTGAGGAAGAATCAGTTTCCGACTCCGTTCTCGTTTTTTGTTGGTAGCACGTTTGAAGGAGCTCCAATGGAGCAGCAAGCGTTGCTGGAGCTTGAAGACACGGCGGCGATTAAGCCCAAAACGACGGAATCGTTAACGGCTGTTATCGGATCTGTTAACGACAGATAACGGCGTGTGGTTTTTGGCCTGGTCAACGAATACTTCATGTTTAAATTGGCCGGTCAACGTTTACTTCATGTTCAAATTGACCATATAACAAGTTCACGTATTAAACGGCCATTTTTAAAAGTTCGGCTATTAAACGACATTTTTCCCGTTTTATTACGGAACCTTACCATTCATTCAATCTGACATTTGTTTTTTTTTTTTTTTTTTTTTTGCCAATCAACATTTGGTTTGGTTTAATTTTTGTTTTTTCGCAACTTTGATTTTCCAATTTGGTTCGATTGAAAAATAGTTAGTTCGGTTTGAGTATCAGCTCAATTTTGGATCTAAAAGAATGTACAGGAAAACATCTATAAATTAATAATGTCGGGATGAAATTTTTTTTATTAATTTATCAATAAATTAATAATTATTAGTTTAATTATAAATTTTAAATCTTAATTCTCTTCTATAAATCTAAACCGACAAATAACCTCGTTTAATTATAAAATATAAACCCTAACCATCCTTTATAAACCCAAACCGACATATAATCTCGTTTAATTGTAAAATGTAAATCCAAACTCCTTTTTATACACTCAAACCGATATTTAACCTCGTTTAATTATAAAATATAAACCCTAATACTCCCTTATAAATCCAAATCGATATATAAATTATTAAATTTTTATTTTGTTTATTTTAGTTGATAAGTTGTGATTTGTTAGAAAAAAAAGGGAGTAAATAAAAGGGTTCACCTCTAGTAGTAAACCCAAGTATTTTTTCATATAAAATGCTATCATATATCTTCTTGTCCATAACATTAAGAATCCATGATTTCACCATACTATTGCATATACTCGAGATCTTGAAACTATAATCACTTTCACATGGTCGCAGCAAAGATCCGTCAATAAAGCTAAGCTTATTCTTCGCATCTAGACTAATCCTTATTGCTTTATACCAACTATTGTAATTAGCTCCATCTAGTTTATAAGCAACTATCGATAAACCTAGATGATTGGAAGAATGAAGGACAAACGGACTGTCAAACGACTCAAATTTCTTCGACATCGATTCATGACCCCAAAAGATTTCCGATCTTTGAGAATGTTGTTGTTTCACCATCACAATCTCATGTTCTTCAAGCAACTCTGAACTACAAGTAATTACGGTGAAATCACTTGATTAACCTAACCTTGAAAGAGTTCATGAACAAAAAGATTTGTGAAAATGCTTTTCTATTTCTCAATCAGAA